TGAAAAAACAAAAAATTATTTAGAAGTTAATGCAGCAATTTTCTGTGCTGGCAGACAGTAAGTATTCATTTACTGCTTCACTGTGGACAGCAACTTCATAAATATATATGTATTATCTGAGTTCTTAAGGAACCAGTACAGATAATATAAACTCATTCATTCTCCTCTTACCTTGAACCTATATAAATGGTCAGAACTCAGATTTTCAATTGTTAACTGGAACACCTTGCCATTCACAATTTCACTTTTGCATTTCTCTTCAACTTCTGCAATGCAGTAAAGTATCTTATAATTAATTATTTCGCCATTTGGTTTTTCTGGAGGAGACCAACGTAGGTAGATCTTCGCAACTGAATCCTGTCAAGCAGCATGAGACAACTTTATTATCCATAAAAAGTTCTACTTTTCAATCATCATACTGCTTCTAGTTATTAATATACAACTGACAATGCATGATCTTCATGTATTACTGTATTATATATTTTACTCTCATTAACCCGTAAACGGTCCAAACGTATATATACGTTTTTTCAACAATTAATAGTATGTAAAAAAGTAATCTTTTTTTTTTTTTTACATTTGAAAATGTGTAAGAAAACTTTGATCTATGTTTTTTTTATATTTGAAAAGATGTAAAAAAAAGCGTAGATCTACTTTTGGAGCACTACGCATGTGAACGTAGATCTGCTTGGACCATTTACGGGTTAATGAAGTACAGTACATACCTGAACTTTATGTACAAATGTCCGCAGGTCTTGAGGCGCTTCGGTAAGTGTGCTGGTGTATGAAGGTTTTTCAAAAGCTGGGTACCTGCACTCCAGTCTGTAATGCCTCTTACTGATACCTTGAGAGAAGAATACGGGGGCAGTACATCTTCGTAGGGAATGATAGTTTCATTCGTGAGAAATGCTTTTTTGTTGTTGCCATTGTCAATGATGACTTCATACATAAGGCTACCATAATTAACATTAGTGATGGGATTCCATTCGAGAGAAAAAATTGTCCAGGTTCCTTTCACTAGAAGTGAATTTGCATCAATCAGACCTGGAGTTACAACTGGTCTTTCAACACCATCTGAAAACAGTTGAAATACAACATCATCATCAATGAAGCTCAAGTAGAATGAAATCTATCAAAAACTGTACAACACAAGTAGTAGTAGTACATATGATATAAGAATATATACAGTACCACAATGTAATTAAAAAACTGCTATAAAGTACATAAAAAAGCCCGTATCTCAATTATTGTTCATATTGTAAACCTAACTCTTTTATAAATTACGAATCACAGAAAAATAACTGTCAGGCAATGTCATTTTAAAAATCCCTTGAAGGTTCAGGCCTTGAAAAGATTACCTGGAACAGGCTGTAGGTCTGGAAGTACCACGATGAAATGGGAAACTCCTAAATTCGAAGTGTGAATAGCGGCAGAGTTGTTGAGGTTGGTATCCGAGACAACTACATCTCCGTCTTCTCCGAGCCACAGCAGACGCTCACTCAGATACCACATTGGACCTGTGAAAACACACAAATGAGTTACAGGTACAGTATTAAGAAATAACCATAACTATTCTTAGATGTAATTTAACTTTTGCAACTACAGTACGTATATAATTTCAGAGAAAGAAAAGAGTAAAGTGATTACCCATAAGGATGAAAGACAGTTGATTTACAAGGTTAAAGCTAGTCTTCTTTCCTGAGATGAAGTTTTTAGATGCACAGACTTAGAAGTTTGTTCCTTAACTTTATATCAGTTTCTCAAAAGCTACTCATATTGTGCTGATGAATGCTCAACAACTTACTACTTCCAAATTACGATGTCTGTTTTTCATTGTTTAAAATAGTTCTAGATTGTAATACAGTACATCATAATGTAAATTGTTCCATTGTAATACCAAATTTCATTGTTTTAAATAGTACTAAACTGTAATATATCATATTGTAAATTGTTTTAAATTGTTACACTGTAATACTATAATCTTTATTAACTAATTCAATAGTGCAATAAGTCTCTACTAGACTTATCAAAACAATGAAGCATTACCTGACTGAATATTCAGTTCTCCTGAACTCACTGTAACTCATCTAATGACCATATGAACTGTATATTATTGCCTTCCTAATCATAAGTTAATCTTTAAGCTTGTCCAAAATGCTCTACATACAAAGGGGCTTTTGGTATGTACAACCAACTATTATATTCCTCTGTACAACCATGTAAATTGTCAAAATAAACATCTTAATCTTAATCTCTTAATAGAAAGAATGCTGGTATCGAAGACCATTAGATATATAATTACAATACTATACCACTGCAACACAGATTTAGTATATCTCAAGTTCATTGATTCCACTGTATGAAAATCATTTTCAATGTCACCTTATTTGCAAAGACCCTTGAATTTTTAAAAATTAATATCTCTACACATTTTTTTTCTAACACTGTATATTTTTCAAGACTTGTTCAAATGAACTTTTATTCATTTTTATGTATTTTACTAATTAGTAGACATGAACTGTGATACTTTTACTTATCTGATACTCAAACTAAAAAAAAAAAAAAAAAAATTTTTTTTAACACACTGGCTGTCTCCCACCGAGCCAGGGTGGGAGAGGATGCCAGAGGCATGCAGATACAACAGTTTAGATGCCACTCTAAACAGAAAATATCTCAAATCCCTCCTTTAGAGAGGAGTCACTGTACTTTCCACCTCCAGGACTCAAAATAACATTCAAATAAAATAGGTTATACTAGCAAAGGATTTCTCTTATTATCTGTCATACAAGACATGTTACGCGTGAGGTTGTGAAAATGCAAAATCAAGTGGTATAGTAGTACCTCGAGTTTCGAACAACTCCCAACTCGAACAATTATGTAAGTGTATTTTTATAAGTGCTTCTCTAAGTGTATTTTTGGGGGTCTGAAACAGACTAATCTAATTTACATTATTCCATATGGGAACAAATTTGTTCGGTAACGGCACTCAAATAGCCTTCTGGAATGAATTAAGTTCATAACTCAAGGTACCACTGTACAGTGGATCCCCGACATTCAATGGCATTGACACTCGACAAATCCGACATTCGATGCATTTTAACGCAAAAATTTCGCCTCGACACTCAATGGAAAACCCAACATTCGATACAATTCGTACGAGCAGTCTCGGCTGAGTGGTTGAGGGGAGTAGACGTGTGCTGGGGATCTGGACCTACTAATTCACAGGCCTACCCATTTCTCCCGACTGATAAGTCATCATTAAAACTCCTACTGTTGGAAGACAGCTTCAGTGTTGTGAGAACTCTTATGTGCGAGCTGTGACTAAGGATATACCTGGTCAAACACTGGAAATAGTTTTCCTTTTTGCAAAGGCCCTCACAGGCCCTTGCTTCCCCTCTGCCTTTCATTTGACCTCAGCCTTTTGCCTCTATCAACATGGAGTGTAGAGGCGAATTTTGCTAGTCCACTGCTACTCGTGCCTCTCAAAATGCTCACAACTCATCGCTTTACCAACTTGAGGAATAACGACGAGTGTGCAGTCCTACGTGAGTTGGTAACCCAGGTGTCCACACACTGAAAATTCGTCTTTCACTCCAAGACACGTGTGCTAGAAGTTCTGCAAGTTTGGAGTAACAATCTCTACGAGTATTGCAGTGTGTGGTAACTCTTGAGAAGTCTGCCTCAGCCTGTGACCTTGAGCGAGGCACTGCATCACCTGCCTGAGACTTTCGCCCATATTGACTATGTGAAGAGAGGCGAATGTGCGTGCTCAGTTGCCCCTGCTGTTCTCCTGTGTCCCCAGCTCTCCTCCTTTAAACTCAGCCGTTCGCCTCTATCAACGATGTGCAGTGTAGAGGTGTATTTTGCTGCCCCGCTGGTACTCGAATATGTGAGTTCCGCAAGTGCTGCAGATTTGTTGTAACTATTTGCATGAGTGGATTACGCTGACTTAGGACATTGTGCTACCATCAGTACCTACGTAGGCTTAAAATGAGTGAGGAATGTCTGGCCTGCTGGGTGACCTTGAAAATGGCACTATAAGACCCGCATGCCACTTACACCCATACTGCGTGTGTCTAGTGAGGTGAATGTCCCTTCCTCGACTTTCCTATTCACCGGTAATCCCTTAACTCGTCGCCATTATCTACATATGGGATAAGGGTGAGTTTAGCTGATCCAGGCCAAACAGCGCTCCAAGCCAGCCAGTGAAGGCCAAGGCTACATCTGTTCTGAATCCCAGAATGCCTTTGTGAACGTTCTACAGTGTTCCGGCCGTACCATTAACAAGTAGTACAGGGTTGGTAACTCTCGAGACGACTGTGGGCCCAGTGAATGACCTTGAAAATTGCACTGCGACCTGCAGGCCACTACACCCATATTGCCTGTGTCTAGCGAGGTTAATATCCTTTCCTTGTCCCTTCTCCTTCCTCGATTTGGAACTCAGCCGTTCGCCTCTATTTGCTTGTGGTCTAGAGGCGGTTTTAGCCAGACCACATGGGTGCTTGAGTGCCCGTGTCCTCTGTGCCGCACTCCGCTCATCTTGCGAGTGTCCCCTGTGTGCCTGCCTGCCTGCTGCAAGCAGGTGTCCGGGTGGTTGGCACGGGCTTGGCGAGCACAGTCAAGCAAGCTTGAGGGTGGCACTAGAAGCTAGCCAGAACGGGCTAAGGCAGCCTGCAGTTATCTGTCCTAGGGCCCAGCATGTCTGTATACGTTCTGCAGTGCTGCTGGCATACCAGTGTTTCCTGTAGTGGCTTGAGAACAATTTGACGAGCATTGCAGTGCTGACATTTTGAGTGGGACATGCCAGAGGTTCACTTATAAACATATTAAGCTTGTGGTGAGTGGCTTGTACACAGTGAACATTCATCTGTCATACGTGTGCTAGAAGTGTTAAGTGCTGCTTTCCCCAACAGTTAATTGTCATTTGTAAGCCTGTATTAAGACTTTAAAAGGCCAAGTGTACTTCTGTAGTGACCCCTTGCATTTGAATTCATGAAACTGCTCTGCCATGTAACTGAACTATTAAAAGGGTTAATAATTAGTTGCTTCCTAGTGCTTTGTTGTGTTTTCTAATACATTTTCCGTTCGACAAAACTTTACTGCAAATTCCCCAAAAATTTCAAAATTTCAGTTTGTCTTGGTGTAGGTGTAACTTTTTGCTTTGTATTTTTAAGTAAAAAGCTTCTCCGCATAATTTTCACTTCATGAAAACTTTTTCCCCTTAGTAATTTGTTTCCTTTTAACTGTGTTAAGCAAGATCACCTGTTAACATCTATTTCCTTGCCACCATCTATGGGTCTGACGCCCAGTTGAAATTTTAAAAGTAACAATTTGCAAAACATTAACTTCTAGTTATACATTGGGTAATTGTTTTAGACTTTTGATCAACTGGGTTTAGTGTTTAACTTCATACACTTTTAATGCTGCAGACACCCCGACCATAATAACACATTAAAACCTGGTAACTCCAAAGCTGGGCCCTAGTGTGTGACCTTGAAAGTTCATTGTTTTTTACACCGCGGTGCCACTCTCACCCAATTTTTCATCACAAAATGTATTCTAATGATAAAGTATACCCTTTGGTGTCTTTTTGGAAAAAAATTGTCATACTAGAACGCGTGTGTAAGGGGATTGTTTAGGTCCCGGTTCATCATCTACCTGCACACTTAGCTTGCATACATGTATAACATAGTAACGTGTAGTTACCCGATGACCAAGGAAATCGACCGAGAATTTATCTCATTGCATTGTAACATTCCTAGTTTTTTTTTTTTTTTTTTTTTTTTTTTTTAAAAAATATGTTTACAATCTATGGTTGGGGAAAAGGTTTTCTTCACCATTCATTTTAGTCTCTTAAAATTTTTTCAAGGGGGTACATTGGTGGCAGTCCCGACAACTCAAATGGAAGTTACATTGAATTTTAACCTCATTTTA